GAGCTCGCCGGGGGTTTTGACGTCGCCGTAGTCTTCGCCAGCGGCCTTGTCTTGGGTCACCGAGACGTACGAGACGCGTTCTTGGAGCTCAATGGCACCCGGTCGTTTGGCTGCCATGGTTGTTGTTGGTGCTGAGAAGGCAAAAAGGAAAGTGAGAGTTTGAGATCGCGGAACTGGCCGGTGTTTGTAAATCCCTTCAAATCTGATCGAAATACTTGCGCGCGAGATGTACGGTCGGTACTGTAGCCACGAAACGTTGAAGGTTACGATGCGCTGTCCCGTCCACTCACGAGGTCGGATCAGAAGTGTCGTGTACCGTCATCTTAGAGTAGTAGAAAACTTTAACTTAAAATATGTATGTACTGATCAGTGCCAAGTCCAAAGAGGAAAATGTCGGCGTAGCAACGACGCTTATCGACACTTGCTACGCTGCTGCGCGAAGAGGAATCGTCCCAAGAGATAAAAACATGGGTATTTTGATAGCTGGGGTGTTGTGCAGTGCGGGCAACGTCTTCGAAACCCGGTCCGACTGAAGGCGTCTGAGTCAAAAAAATGAAGTAGCGTTCGCAGATGAGGATCTTCTTGAAGAGCAGCTCGTTACGTCGCGCCGCCGCAATCGTGCGTTAGAAGAACAGTCGCACAGACTCTCTGGAAGTACTAGGTGTGGAATTGGTACCGACGGCAATCGCTCGTTCATTTCAGTCTCAACGCTCCACGAATAACTGTGGCAACAATGCTAGCTCCCTCGATGAGACTGCGCAGACGCCGCTTCTTTTCTCTTTCGCGCAGCCGTCTTTGTCGTACCCGTCTAAGTAGACAGGCGGTCGGAGCGACCGAACCCAAATCGTGGCGCAATGGAACGCCATCGGCGTGTTGCGACTGTTTCGATAAGAGCTCACCGGTAGTAGGTGCTTGAAGGGATCTGGGTGCACCAGCTTGCTCACCTTCCAACGTTGTTTCCTTCGACGTCCTACTGTCGTCCCACGGCAGATGCACGGCGGTATACAAATCGCTTATGAAAATTTTATACGACGACTTGCCATCTGTCAACTCAGATCGCACCTCTGTGGGTGCAATCCCGTTCGTGACACGAAAAGGGGGCCGAGCACCCTTTTTTGGTCGGTGCAAGCGAATTCGCACAATTCAGACAATATGACGACGGTTCGCGTCGCGGATAGAGCATCAGAAAGGCAATGGTACTTATATAGGCGAATTGCGACCTGCCGTGCGCATCGTTGTTGCTGCAAGTAATCTCGTGTCCACACCGGCGTCCAAGGGCATGTGGAGCACGTCACGTGGCCGTGCGCGTTGTGGCAGAAAGCAAGCGGAGCGTGGAAGAAGTCGCCCATGACGAGTTGGTTCTGTGGCCTTTTTATATCGGCGGCGATTCCTGTGCCTTCGAAGTGGCTCGAAACTTGATCATTTCTCGGCAGAGAAACCTGTGGCAAAAGCTTGGCAAGCAAAACCTATGACGTTGCCTCGCTGTGCCCTATTTATTCGTCCCAGCTCCAGCATCTGGGGGTCGTCCGCCGAAAAACTCGCTCGGAACGAACAAGCAGACAGAGCACGCAATATCTTGGTTCGCGAGGTGCACGCCTCGTATCTACAACCGGTACTGTAGTTTGCTGTCAAGGTTTACTGAGCTGCGCAGATGAGCCCTCAACTGCACCCAACGCATGGCTTGGCCTGTAAGCGAACATCGTCGCCCACAAGATTTTCGAGTCTTGAGCACCACACATTTGCCGTGCCGAGACGCATTGGCTGCGTCACATCAGATTTGTGGCGGCGAATCATACAATTGTTTGCGCTACGGGCTGCAAGATATAAACAGCGTTTAGACCCGGCGGCCGGATCTTGTATCCAGTGGTTTCTGTTACACAATGTCACCACAACCAGTGTTTCGGTGCATGTATACTCTGTTTGTTCATACAGTGTATAATGTAGACAGTGTATGATGTGATAATGTTGTTTCATTATGCTTGTCCAGGCCTCCTCCCAACTTGGGAGGCCTGGACAGTGGCTTGGGAGTCCCAAGCCACGATCGCTTGGCGGAAAATTCACAAGCCTCGGCTAGAATTTAAAACGCTACATTAGGCTCTAGAACTTTACACATCGAAGCAAAGAGCTAAACAAAAGGAGGCTTAGCAGCCGTCGCCACCCGCAATGATCAAGCACGACGTCGACTCAAACATGGAGAGGATGCTGCACGTGATCGAGTAGACGAGCATGCAAAAGCAGAAGATGAGGACCGC